GGAGACTACAAAGACATCCTCTTAATTAATTTCCTTGCAGTTCAGTAAATATACATGGTGCATCTGTCTTTTTGCAGCACTGACATTGCAAGTAAGGACTCAGACAAACTGTTCCAGCAGCAACTAACTTGGGTTCAGGGGTTACTGGCCTCAGTCTACATGTTGTAATCATTGTTGGCATGTGCCCTACCCTTGCTCTGTCGGTTTAACTGTTTGTCTGATCTGCCCTTAAGCTGTGTTTTTCTTTTCTTTTCAAAAACATTTTGAATTAAAAAAGTATTTCTCCCATTAAAATCTTCTGAAAGTGAGTGATATTCTAGCATTGAATTCTGGTCTGACCAAATGTTCAGAAGTTTTCTACTACCACGTGGAGACACTTCAACTTAACTGCCACTCACATTAAAGCTGCCAGTAACCACTCCTCTCAAAACTCCATGGATCTTGTCAGTATACCTGTAAAAATTATTGAAGGGAAAGAAAATATGGAATGAGTTTAAAATTAAAGCATTTCTAATACTTCACCTTTTCTTTTTCCGTTAGTTGACATAAATATATATAAATTATTTTACGAGAAAGTTAAAAAAAAAAAAAAGTGAAATTTATAGAACTGCTCTTGTTGCAATGATAAATACAAGGATCAGAATATTTTCAGGGTTAGGTTCTCAATGCAGAATTAATTAGGTAAACTATTTTAAAATATTATATTGAAAAATTTCAATAGATCTATTCGAATACTGTTCCAAAGGGGGGGAATGATATTCATTATAATTCTGCCCTAAACATCAATTTCATATTTAGTTTATTTATTAAAGCAAGTAAATTTATGTTCAATTTGAAAATAAACAATTATAAGCCATGTTATAAGTAATTCATGTGTTGTAGTTCGGGCTTAAAGGACATTTATCTTGTTGATGGGTATTTCTACTATTAAAAGATACAACTCTACCTAGCTTTGCTAAACTATGCCTTTGCATAATTTTTTACAACAAACCTTCCAATTCCTGCAGATTTTTCAAGAATCAAGTTCTAGCACTACTGGTAATATTCGCATCAGACCATTTTCACTGTGAATGACCACTTAACTGCATGAACTACTAACAATGATTAAAATTATAGTTTTAATTGTAGTATGATTTTGAAGTAATCACTAATTATAATTACACTGTGCAAACCATTAGTTAGAACTCTACATAATAGGAATAAAGTTACTACATTATTATTTGAGATTATGATGCTTCCTGAACCATTAGTAGCAACATATCATGGCTAACTACAAAAGAAATGTTCACCCGAACAATCCAAGCGTACAAGTAACATATTAAACCAATCTAATACTTAATGAGGGTGAACTATGCCTCTGTTTTCATCCTACACCAAAAGTTCAGGCTGGAATACTCTGTATTTTTTGAGCCACGTGATTCCCTTATTTTCTGCATGGGGACTCACACTTCCATCTCCCACACATTCCAACCCCTACTGGTCCCAGCAAGCATTGGAGGCTCCCATGTTGTTTATTCCAAGACTCTCTTATAGTGCCCTGCTCCTCCCCTGCAGTAATCCCACCTCCTCTCTGCAGCCAATAGTGGTTTTCACCTCCTCCCAGGGGGCTCCAGAGGAGCATGCTCAACAGAGACTAGAAACATGGAGGAGTCAACTTTGCAGCTCAAGCTGACAAGTCATGTCTGCTCCTACTGCTGTTGGACTTGGAAAAAGAATACAGAGGCTGGTGAGTGCATATTGGCTCCATATAGGCCTCTTCTGCTGCTAATGTAAGCTCTACTTCTCAGTCCCTAATGGAGTCCAGAGCTTTCCACCATATTGTTGGTAAAAGGTTTTGATGAAGTCATCAAAAAGGTTTTGATCTTCAGCCTCTGGGCTGAAGATATCTTCTGGCCTTCTTATGTGAACTCAGGAGAGGGAGGAGAATCACTACTCCTTATTCTTGGAGACTCCAAGTACTGGGCCTAAAAGTTATTTTGCGCAAAAATTAAAACTTCCTGTTTTTTCTTTTTAACTATATTTTCTTCCTTCACCTATGCTTCTTACAATTTAATTCTCTGTATTCCTCTTTCATCTTGCAAACCTCTCTCTTCTATTCATGTGTTGACAGTTTGGGCTCACTGGTCCATTTGGCCACTGGAAACAATGGGGCATGTGGGTGTTGTCATGCCCTAATAAAATAACTAATGCAGAGTTATGTGGCATTGTTATTACTACATTAAAAGTAATAAAATAGTTCAGATTACAATACCACAGACCTCTTGTTTTGTTCACCAGCAGAACTTAAAGGCCCTGTAATTGCTGTTATCACAACTATGACTAGTTCTCAGTTAGTTCCTGCAGTAACCCCTCCTGAGTTGTTTAACCGAGCGCTTCGTTTTGCAATATCAATTTGCCCGACTATAACTGCTTTTGCCTAAAAGTCTAGTAGTTCGTGTGACAACTCCAGGTATAAATGCACACCTACGTATATCAAGGAATACTGAAATAACCAGTGGGTGTTTTCAAATAAGTGTGATAGTGAACTTGTTTCGAAAGCCATGGTTCCCGAGCCCAAAATACATCAGTTTTATGTTCTGGGAACTTTTTTTTTTTTCTTTGAAGTAAAAAGTTGAGCCCATAAAGTATACATCGCTTCAGTTATGCTTTGTCTAAACAAAGTTCTTTGTAATACATGCCAAATCATGCCATTTCAAATTAGTCTTCAAAGGAGTAAAACTGGTATTTGCTATAATCATAACACAATGTTTTCTGCGTCAGCCTTAGCAAACTGTGAGCCACAAACTGGAAGGCCAGGTTTCCTTCAGTCTGCCCTCCTACTTCCTTTGGTCTTCTTGTGGCCCAGCTATCTCTGCTTTGCTCCTCCTACATCTCCTAACTGCTGGCAGCTCTCGGGTCACACGTGCAGCATTTAGGTCCTGAGGTCACGAAGATATTGGCGTGGTTTTCCACCTGCTGTCCTATGACTAGTCCTCATGAAAGCTTTAGGAATTTATACTTCTGAGATCTCTGTCTCTGTGCTAAATATGGCTGGACTTAGTGAAGTGCTAGTGAAGGTGGTGGACATGCGAAATGATTATGTTTTTAGTTATGTTATTTTTTTGTATTTTTCCCCCATTGGAAACTAGAAGAAATGATAGCCAAATAATGTTTCACTGATTTTTTTCACCAGTAATTATGAAACACTTATTCTGGAAAAAAATGTATCAATTTTCAACTTGGTTTTCAGAATGCCAGTAACACATAACTTAGAGGTGGTTTTCAGCTACATTAAGAGTACAGTAATATAACCAAAGAATCATAGAATGGCTCAGGTTGGGAGGGACCTTAAGGATCATCTAACTCCAACCCCCCTGCCATGGGCAGGGAGGTTACATACTAGATCAGGTTGGCCAAGGCCCCATCCAGCCTGGTCTTGAACACTTCCAGGGTTGAGGCCCTGGCCACCTAGAGCTCCAGGTGGGGCCTCACGAGGGCAGAGTAGAGGAGGTCAGTCAGCTCCGTCCACCTGCTGCCCACCCCTCTGTTGGTGCAGCCCAGGACGCAGTTGGCCTTCTGGGCTGCAGGCACGCACTGCTGGCTCGTGTTGGGCCTTTTGTCCACCAGATCCCCCAAGTCCTTCTCTGCTGGGCAGCTCTCAGTGAGCTCTTCTCCCAGTCTGTGCTCATGTCTGGGATCGCCCCGGCCCAGGTGCAGCACCTTGCACTTGGACTTGTTGAACCTCATGTGGTTCACGTTGGCCTACTTCTCCAGCCTGTCCAGGTCCCTTTGGATGGCCTCTCTTCCTTCTTTGGTACCAACCACACCACTCAGCTTGGCGTCATCTGAAAACTTGCAGAGGGTGCACTCAATCCCATCATCTATGTCAGTGATGAAGATATTGAGAAGCGCTAGTCCCAAGACAGACCCCTGAGGGAAACCACTCATCACTGGTCTCCACCTGGACATAGAGCCATTGACCATTACTCTCTGGGTGCTTTGCTACCTTTGCTAACAAGTAGGCATTTTAAATCTTAACTTTTGTTTCTTTTTAGGAATATCCAGCGTGATTACAGAGCAACATGCAGGTGAGTAGGAACTATATAGAATTAGAAAAAATGAGTCACACTGCATTCCAGCAGAACAGCAGATACTATAGAGCTGTCAAGATTATCAAAGAATTATGTTGACATTCTAATGTCACCATTTTTTTTCACAATATAAGAAAGTTTTTGTCCAAAAATCAAGGAAAGTCAACAAAAATATATTATTTATCAGGATTCAAGAGGAAAGTATTTTAATGGTATGAAATTATAAATTTTAACTTTATTACAATAAAATATGTATTTGTTATAATGTATTATAAAAACATATTATAATACATTTATTATATTTTTTTAATAATATTATTCCCTAATGAAAAAAAAAAAAAAGTAATGCTTTGGACTTTGAACTTCATTTTGGAATTCGTTTGTACCCTGGTCAGGAAACTGAGAGCTGTGGGCTTTGACACACGTTCTCGTCCTTTCTGTGGCCCAAGTGTCATGGGGTGGGGGCTTTGCTTCTTCAGGGGAGGCTGCAAGCCCCAGGTCCCCAATCCTCAAAGGTGTTTCAGTTTCATCGGGAGCTCATGTTGAACCTGAACACCTGATGTGGCCAGCAGGATCTATGCTTTTGGACAGCAGGGTAACTATTTTTGACAGTAGGGTAACTTGGGCATCAACTTCAAGGGCGGATTTAGGCAGTGGTGGGGCACAGTCGCTTCGAGGTGGCACGGGCAGAGTGCCCCTGAGCCTGGCAGGCGCTGCCCTCCCTGCTGCCTCCTGGCACGGCGTGCGGCAGATCACACAGTGCCCGTCCTTCCTGGGGCGGGGGGGGGACCAGAGCACGGCTCCTCGCTTTCCGAGGGGATAAACCTCCGTGTAGGGCCGGCATGGCTGCGGCAGGGGACGAGGCGAGCCCCGGGGGCGGGCTCCCTGCCTCTCTCCCGTCGTGGCAGCGAGGCGAGGCCGGCCCGAGAGGCGCGGCCAGCGGGAGCCAATGGGGGCGGCCGCGACATGGCGGCCGCCGTGGGTGGGGAGCGGGCGCCTTAAAGCCGGCGGCGGGGGCGGTGGTGGCGGCTGCTGCTTGGTGCATCCCCCACGGGCATGGAGTCCTCGCAGGTTGCCGTGATCGGCAGGTGAGGCCTCTCCTTCCCCTTGCCGCACTCCGGGAGCCGGCTGGAAGGGGAAGGAGCAGGCGGGGGGCAGCGGGGCAGCGCCTCTCGCAGCCGGCCGGGCTCTCGGTGCCCTCTCCGGCTCGGTGCTGCGGTGCTTGGTGTGGTTGGGAGCCCGCAGGAGGCCGGGGAGAGGTTTAAAAGCTGCCCCCGTGGGTGGGGAGCAGCCCTCGGTGTGCCCGCGGGGTGTCCCTCGGTTGGGCATGCAGCGGTGGGTTTGGCTGTGGAGGTGTCGCTTCGTCCTCTTGAGCTAAAATTGGTTGATTTGGGCAATAACCTGGCGAGGCGACGCTGGCAGCGAGGCAGCTCGAGGTCGGAGGCACGTGTCTGGCCGCTGTCACGCGCCAGCGACGAAACTCGATGTGTCTGCTGGCACAAAGAAGCGTCCGGAGAGCCGGGCTCTGCGCTACCTGCCTAAGGAGGAACCCACCGTCCATACCAGCCAAAGCCAAGGGAGAAGGTCTGGATCCACAGGCTGCAGCAGCGGGCCCCAAATGACAGTGCCTGCCTGTCTTAAACGATGTCTTGGGGTCAAGTGTGTCTGCATCCTCCCGGGATGCGGCTGTCATGCACTGCTGCTCCATCGCACAAGTCTGATGCCTACCGCTGACTTCGTACACTTGATAGTGCCTAAGAAAACAAATCACACAATCCTGAAAATCAGTATCAAAATAGAATACATTATTTGGTCAAATGTTGATTTTTAAAGAGAGAAAGTTCATTTAAAAATGCAGTTCAAGAGGAGTGATGTTTATAAAGATACTAGTGGCTTAGATATACTTATTTAGAGGTTCAGGTGGTCCAAACGCTGGTAGTTTAGAAGTATTTGTTAGCTGGGAAGTTATCATAGCTAACAAAGTATGACCCGTATGTTACTTCTCTGTAAGTGCTTGCTCTGTAGTTTGCCTGAGAACTGCTGAGATCTGGGCTTGCTGCAGTGAAAATGTTTGCTTTTTCTTTTAAATGATGTATTTTAAATAGATGTTAAGTTCTCGTTTAACAACGCTAAATACACAGTTTCACCCCCCACCCAACCCCCAGTTATTTCCACTGATTCCTGCTGTTTCCTGAAACTTCCTGTTTTGTTCCATTTTTATTCTTCTTTAACTAAAGGCTGAACGCGTTCCTGTTTTCTCTTCCTTTTCTTATCTGGCCTGCTGCTTTATCTCTGAATTTTTACCCCCCCATATCATAAGTTACTGATGACCTATTTGCCTTCCGTTTTTACAGTTGACAGACATTGCTTCAGTTTAATGTTACAAGGACAGTAATCTCAGAAACGTCAGGAAATGCATGTGAAAATCAACACCAGTAATAGTAGTCATGGATATAGAGTTCTGTTCTTGTTGCTGTTAGGATTATAATTATTTGTGATGTTGTTTAATTTTTTTGTACTGTATCTCAGTACTTCTGTTTAAAGAGGCTAATGCCTGCAAATAGTTAAGTTCAAAACCTGCATTGTTCTGATAGGTATGATGAAATTATCAATTACTGTACATTTCCTTTATATATTTCTTAATAATGGGCTACAACTAATATGGCTTTACCACAAGATGTGGGCAGACTGTTCCTGCAGGCCTCCAGCATGGTAGGATGTTTCATCCAAAAGCACGGGTGATGCTAGATGTGGGTAGATGGAAAAGTAGCATCAAAACCACGTGTTTTTCTTTCCTGGTTTTTGCACACTTACAGCATTTCCTGAGTTGTAGAGGATCCGTGATTACAGTAGCTGGGCCTTAGGTTTCTCTGATTAGCTCTGAAGCAGGATCTTGAACTCCTGAACAAATGGGCTGCTCTCCATATTCAGACTTTGAATTAAACAAATGAGTTTCAAAAAGATGAAAAAACAAACCCTCCATAATGTGATTCCATGCACCAGTTCCAGGTTAGGATTACAGCTGACAAAACTGTTAATACTTGAATCCAGTGTCCCAGAGTAGCAGCTCCTACTCTTTAGAATTCCGCTATCAGTTTTTTTTTTTTTTTTTTTTTTATTATCTTTCTCCCAGCACTCAAAGAAGCTGCTACACTACTAGCAAAGGATATTGCTTTGTTACAGAGAGAGGTTGGTTTCTTATCAACATGTAACTGATTTTTGGATCGAGTATTGCAGGGTCTGGACTCTGTTTTAGTTCTTGCAGTGCTTGTTGTTGGACCTTCCCCACCCCAGATAAATGCTACTTTATTAATTGGTTAAAATTTATTTCCTTTTCAGTGGGCTCATTGGTCGCAGCTGGGCCATGGTGTTTGCTGCTGGAGGCTTCAAAGTGAAACTTTATGACATTGCACAACAACAATTAACAGGTGCACTGGAAAACATACGGTAGGTCACCTGACTTGAAACGACTGACACTGCAGTGAATCTGTGGGCTTTCTGTGGGATGTAATTATGAATGAACAGCCTCATCTTACTATTCAAGAGAGTATAGATCTTAAGCATTAAAGAAGGCTTTAACTTAAAAGTACAAGTCCTGTTAAGATTAGAACTGTGCCTCTAAATCTCTCAATGACACTTCTGAAGAGCGCTTCAATAATTAAATAATGGTTTAAGACATTAAGTTTAAATCCAAGTTCTTGAAATCACATCTTCCATGATTAGGTTATCTATAGGCTAAACTTAAAATACAGGAACATAGGAGTTGCATAGAAAGATTACAAAGACTTCTTCAGATCTCAAAGAGGCTAGTACTGATTGCTAAAGAGACCTACTGCAACTACCACTTCTCTATAACTAGATTTAAAAAAAAATAAATCTTGAACTGACATTTCAGCATCCTAGAAGAAGAGGTAACTAGTTCTGTTAAAGACTCAATTACTGAACAGTTACAATAGAGGCTTGGAAGCACCTTTAGCAAATTTGAGGACTTGAACATGAGAACAGTCAAATTGCTTCAGACAGTAATCCCCTCGCCCTTTTCTGTTAACCCTGTGACACTACAGCTGAAGCCTTTGGAAACATGCGGAGCTGCAAATTCAAGTCCTGCCTGTCTGCCCTCCCTCCCTCCCATGACCTGCAGTGCCTAGAAGTTGCTTATGTACTGAGTGACTCTTAACTATATTTCTTCCAAGTATTTCTCTTAACCTTCCTTGAACCTGTGTAAATCGTTTTGCAGCCTCCTTGCCAAGGGACTTTGTGTTCTGCGGGTTTACTGCTCTCTGTGTGAAGAGCTGTCCGTCTTGTTTGTTTTGAACCTGACTCCTCAGGTGCTTTGTTTGGCCCCTAGTTCTTATGTTAGAAGGGACAGTGACTGGTTCTACTCAGCCTTTTTTTTGCCAGTCCTGGAAGTGTAGTTCTTGTGGATGTGAGAGTGTACATTGATAGGGGGGTTCTGTGTATAGCCTCATTGCTATAAGAGCATTTAATGCTGAAGTTCAGGTTGCTTCCTGATAAGCATCCAGCTAAGTGCTTCAGCCCTTCTTCCCTCTTGCTGTCTTGTAATGTAACATGTTAGCTGCTGTGCAGCAGCCAGTATGGGGATTAACTTGTACCTCTTGTACCTAAAAAGGGATTGTGGTGTGTTGCTTTTGGTAACAAGGCTTACAGCAAGGAAGAGTGACGTTAGGAGCCTCTGTACACTATTCCTGTTTTAGGAATTTAGATGTGAGACAGTATGTTATATCTAATCAGATTTATTTTTTTAGGCAAAAATTTGATAGTGAAGGAGGGGGGAAAAATCTGTCTCTTACAGGTGTGTGTGTGTGTGTGTTTTTTTTGGTGGTGGTGATTTTTTTATCATTTCCTCAAAACTTTCAATATAGACGTTAGGTTTGACTAACACCTCTGTTACTACACCCTACATGATGGCACTTCCATTTTTTTGCAGAGTTGCTGTCATAACAGTAGCCATAATGAGCTTCTGGATTTCTGGAGAAGGGAGGAGTCTTGTGTTCTGCATTACTGAAGCTAGCACTCAACTAATTTATTTATTTTTTTTAATAGCAGAATGACAACTGCAGTCTTCCAAGGTTTTCAGCTTGGAAAAGAAAAGCATAAATTATTGTGTGTGGCATAGTAGAGAGGCATTTGGGTGTGTTAGTGTACTGTCCTGTACCTGCACATGCTGTTCCATAGGAGTTCAAGTCAAGTTTTGCCTTTCGCATAAGGTGTTTAGTTAAACTTATAATTAACTTAGGTATCTTGGCTGTTGTAACACCTTAGTTAAAAAGTCTAGTTTCAATAAAAGTGTGGGTTTTTTTGTGACAAGAACGCAAGCTATGTAGTTTCATCAACCAGTATTTTAATGATCGTATCTATCAAAATGCAGTCAAACTTTTTTGGCACTGATTTCACAGCACACAATCTGTAGTAAATCCATCTGGATTACTGATACAATACTTTCGTAACTGCTGGAGCTTAAGTAGGTAATGAAGACTTGTAGAAGAGAGCAGCAGGGGCTGCCAATGGAAGCTGTATGACAGAGCCAGCTGGTGGTTGCTCCTCTGGATTTGCTGGGATGTGCTTTCCATTCTCTCTGCATTGCTGATAATTTAGGAAAGTTCTTAGGTTTAGTTGAGTGTGGTTTTGTTTGGTTAGTTGTTTTTTGTTGGTGATTTTTTAAGCTTTAGTATTGGAAGGAGTTTTGTTCCATTTTAGTTCAAAGTCTATGACTTAGTTGTATGTACTTCACATATTAAAGAAAAACTGGAGAACAAAGGACTTCTTAGTTTTGCTTTTGTAAACCAAGCAAAACTGGATTTGAGTAGTACGCAGTAGTCACTTCTACAAGGAGTAGAAATAATTTGTTAATATGATTGACTTTTAGTATGTTGACTTGTAACTCATTCTGGATTTATAAAATCTGTGCTTCACTGGGGCACTTCAGGATTCATTAACCTAATGAATCCAACTCTCACAAAACGGTAGGTGGGCTGCAGATGTGTGCAGACTGCACACAGGACTGGCATGGAGGCTGGGAGGGACATGCATTGAGGATGGGAACCTGCATGTGTCTGTGGAAAGTCTGAAATGTTACTCTGTCACGATTTTCAGAACAACTGGTCAAAAATGAGTCTAAACTGTGAAATTGTCATCTACTGACACAAACGGAAATATGTGTCGACACAATGCCAGTAGACCAGATACGGAAAGGAAATGAGAGTGTGGTTATTGAGGCCTAGCGTGGTGCAGTGGATTTCCTACCTACCTGTTGATACACACTTGGTAGTCAGTGTCCTGACAAAAAATGACTGCACACTGGACTGAACTGGGTGTACCATTAGCATTATTAACCAGTGTCTGCTCTAATGGAACAACCTCTTCTGGAGAAGAAAACAAACTATCGAACAGCTTTATGCCCTGCTTGACCTACAGAAAGAACCTGCATTAACCTGCCTTGGAAAACGCAAATTTTCATATCCAGTATGCTTTCTCCAGAGTCAATGTAATTCTGGTTTGAATGCAAGGTTGTTGAGTTTTAAAATAATGAGAATTAGAAAAACAAGTAGTGCCCTGTTCCCGGAAGTAATCCTGGAACATACTGTGTGGAAATGCTCTAGTGCATGTCCCCCCAAAATACTTTGACTCTTGTAATATGTAAACTTTTTTCCAGTAGTTACCGTGCTGCTGTTCTAAACATAATTACACAGCTGATAAAGATAGGTAAAACACAGTAAAATGCTGTAATAAAAATATAATGAAGCTGTAGAATGAATTCTATATGGAAAAATAAGATGGGATATTTGAGACTAATCTAATTTTTTTCCAGAAACAGTTCTAGAGTGGTAGCTTCCTCTAGCCACCCTTTTCACTGGGGAAGAAAAGAGTTTCCGAGCTGTTTTAAGGAACTGGAAGACAGGACGGGTTGGTAATGCTATTTCTCAGAAGTTCTGCATTCAGAAATGCTGTAGCTGTCTCCTGAGATTTAACAGTGGTGCTGATGTAAAGAGGTGCTTTGGTGCTTGTCTGCTCAGTCTTGTGCAGGAGGTGATATACTCCTCCTGTCCATCCGTGAGCTCTTGCTGAGTAACTTATGTTTGGAAACTGTAGAGCCAAGTCCCTTTAGGAACGGTGTCTGCTTCCATTCTCTTTGGGTCCTTTCCCCATCTGTAATAATAGGATATTTTCAAGATGCAAAAAGGACTTTCAAAGTTTTTAAAATTTCCTATTTCTCAGCTGATGAGACAGGACGTAAGTTTGGGAGACCTAAATACATTGCCTTGTTCTGTGATTGGGGGGGAAAAAAGCTTCTGTCTGTAGCAATGTAATGTTTCTTGATGTAGAGAGTAGACCTGGCATTTTCTCTTGAGTGTTTGGAAGTCATTTGAAACAGTCTCCAAAGAGAAATGTTTTTTCTCCTCATTCCTGTGTGGCAGCCAGTCCCCCTTGGCAGCTTGAATATAGGCTTTAAATAAGACTGACTTTTGCAATGACAAAGGCTGTGCTTTGAGAACAGTTACAGTGTTGATGCTTGCCTGGTATGCAGAAGTAACAGGTTATCTGAAAAGGTGATGAAATTTCCATTCCTGAAGGCTTTCAAGGTTTGGCTGCACAAAGCCAATGTTAACCTCACCTGGTCCAAGCAGTAGTTTTGCTGCAGGTGCAAGCTGTACTTGAGACTTCCTGAGGCCTCTGTGTGCCCGTGTGTGCATGTGAACCTTCAGGAGGTCTCAGAAGTCAGATCAGTTTGCATGCATTGCCATGCTTTTATGCTGTGCACCAGCTGTCCTGGAGTCCTTTGCTTTCTGCCTCTTCAAAACTGTGCCAGAGGAAGATGAGCAACTGTCCTGCTTTAATACACAGACATTTCTGTGGAGAAAGTGCATTTGGCAGCTCTGGATCTCATGTCTGGACCAGCTTGTCCTGCTGTTCTGGGTAGGAAGCCTGTACTGTGTAAGTTGTATGCTTATATTCAGCTTGGGGAAAGCAGGAAGAGGGGATTTGGATGTGAATACTTTAAAATGGCCACTTGCAACTCAATATTAGCAGCTTGGTGTTTGGCCATCGTGTGTGCAGACAGTAAGCTGGCCCTAGTGTTGGGGCATTTGTTTGCAAGCTTGACCTGTTGGGTCTCAGGCTAGATCTATGGGGCTGGTGATGTGATGGGGGTTGTGTGGAGTTTTGGTTTTTCTTTCCCCTCCAGCTACTCCCTCATTTATCAGACAGCAGTAGATAGCAGTGTGGTGCTGGCTCTGGTTTTTGGGCAAAGGTGGCTGGCTGAAGTTGTGAAGAAGCATTTTTGGCGTTGCCTCTTCTTCCCCTCCCTTCCCCTTGCTGATCTGGTCAGTGAGTTGTGATTCAGTAGTCGTTAGCTATGGATTTTGTGCCTTATCTTGAAGTAAATAACAGTTCAGTTCTCAGGACAGTGTTGACATGGGCAGTCTGGTACAACAGAGATGCTCTGGAGCTTGTTGAAGGGTGGGCTCTAAAAGGAGGCAGTATTTTCTTACGGACATGAATTCACCATTCTCTGAAGACCTTATGGGTACTGAGACAAATTCTTCAAGCTACTGCTTCATGTGCTCTGTGACACAACTGCAGAGTGGAGTCCTGTGGTGTGTCCTCCAGCAACGGCTGCCATGGCCTTTGAGTCTGTGATCGTACTCAGCGATGATCACCCTGAACATGAGGCTGCTCTGAATAAAAACTCACCCAGTAGAGGTCAGTGGTGCACTGCTGTATGCATAAATCAGTCTGTTGTGTGCCTTAATGTATGGAAGTCTCTTATGGAAGCTCTCCTCCATTGCTCACACCGCTTCTGTGCCAGTCTAGTACCCCAGGGGAATGTAAGTAGGGATTAGCATTTGGAAGGATTAGAATTAATTTGTGGAAGAAAATAACCAAACTGTCAATAAATATATTAATGAAGGGGGCAAAAAAAAAAAATCCCCTAGGGAAAGGGAAAGCCAAAATTGAAGTAATGCATTAATTGCATTTCATGTTCTGTGCTAAGTAAAATTTAAATTGCAAGCTTGGTGATGTTAACAGAAAGGACTTTCTGCAGGAAGAAGAAGGGGTGCGGGAGGAATGGTCTAGCCTCAAATTCTGAAGAATGAAGGCAGTAGCTTTGTAGGTTAGTTAAGAAATTGTATTTTCTGTGCACAGTATAGTGTGTAATGGCTTATAGCAGAGGCAGAACGGGTGGATGCTCATCACTGGCAGAGGAAAAAAAAGAACGGAACAGAAGACAGGTGCTGCGAACTTCTACAAGAGCTTGTGGAAGATGAATAAATGCCACCTCTCTGGTAACTGAGGGATTCAACACAGCTAGCAACAATCATGGTACAGAGTTTCAGAGGGCCAGGAGGAATGAGGAAGTGTAAAATTGCACAGAAAGTGAACAGGAGCTTCACCACCTTCGTGGAAGGGCACGATTCTGTTGTGGTCTCTTCAAACTTTGCTTTAAAAAAAAAAAAAGGTATGGGCTATGGCAAGAGGATGCTGGATTCAGGCAACTGTGCCTGTGAAATGGACTTCTGACGAATGAATATTTGATGCCTTCTGAATTAATTGGTCCCCTACCACTTCACAAGGAAGGCATCAGGAGCCAGAAGTTTGGATACTTCAGTTTAGATGCACCAGTCCCTTTACACACAACGTGCTGGCATCTTCAGTGTGCCAGAAGCCTTAGGAAGTCAATTAGAGCTGCTGCCTAGCCACCCGTGGCGTACCCTGGCAGCTTGCAAAAAGGGAGCTGAAGCGTTGTTCCCTGCAGATCACCACACAGATTACTGAAGAGGCAGAAGGCCGTGCTCTGCAGCTGTCCCATTGCTGTTTGTCAAGGAGCTGAGTGGGGAACTTGCTGAGAACCTTAATGGATTTTCTACTGATTTCTGTGTCACTAACCAGAGTTTTTGAGTATAAATCTATATTTGAGAAGAGAGGAAGAATGCTGATAGAACAATGCTTCGATTTTGGACTACACAGGCTGATAGAAACGTTAATTTTGGCCCAAAATCCAAGGGACTCCAGAGAAACAAACATGACAGACCTGAGCAGTGCCTGAGAAGTGCGTAACTCCTGGCTTCATTTTCTAGCTAAGAATGAACCTTTCCAAAGGTGTTGTCCAATGTAAACAGAATGCAGTGCCTGGCTGTTTACTGAGGCGTGCTCTGCCTAAAACAGTTTTAAAAAAGTGTTGTCAATGATCAGCTGTTACAAAAATAAGGTATCAGAACTTGCACGGCAGAAAAGATTATCTGGAGTTAAGTATTGAAGGATTTCCTTGAAGAGGAGAAAGCTAATGCTTGTAGGAGTTAGCCGTGTGTGTTTTATGGCTTGTTTTTCTTGTGTGTGTCTGAAAGTTGAAGAGTTGAAAGTTGAAGTATGTGCTTATTCTGCACACATTAAAATATGGGTGCCCATTCTGTTTTGGAAGGTACAGTGTTAACTTTTACCAACTTCACATAGGGTTTTAGTTGACATCTTGCCTACTCCCAAATTATAGGAAATGCTTTGATTGAAGGTGCAAAGTCCGTGGAGATTAGAAGGTATTTGCCTCTTCTGGCTCTCGTGCTAAACCAGGAGCAGGGCTGTTCTGTATGCTTGTGACTGCTGCAGAGTGCTCCGTACCCAGGTTTTAGTGGTGAGGTGTTGCAGCTCTGGGGCGGTGATGGAGAGATGCATTGGGAACCTGGATTGTCTGCTGGGAAACCAATACTCTCCTCTACACCACCTTCAGTGGGAGGGTGGGAGTCAGGGTAACTTGCAGGGCAGCAGGTGGTTATGACCTCTTAATAAAGCCATGATAGAACTACCAGAGTCTATGCTTGTTGTATTTTCTTGGACACAATCCAGCTACACAGCTGCTGAAGTAAAATTCTGATTCTCTGGAAGTTGATGGTTGATTTAGTGAGCCATTCCCAGCTGAAGGTCTGAGGGCCCATTGAAACTCTAAGGTTTGACTTCCTTCTGTATAGCTCAGAAGGAACTGGGTTGTCTTTAAATAAATCTCTGAAAACTTTTATCTGTGGTAGCTTCAGAATACTGTGGTCTAAATGGCTCATTCTACCTATTTCAGCTAAAAAAAGCTGCTTCTGTCATAAGATGAGAAAGATCCCTAAAAAAGATCAGGCAAATGTACCCGAAACACTTCGTTCTTCCTTCTGTAAACGAGAGCTGAAGGTGATTGCCTCGGATGTACGTGCTGGCAGGGTAGGTGAGATGAATCCCCCTCAGTCTCTTTAAGAAATCTGGAGGAGGAAGCTTAATATTAGATCTGTGGGCTCGAGACTTGTTGACAGGAAAGAGCCCTAAATAAAGGGATGGCCTCATGAAGTGTGGGTGTGTTATCCCACACTGCTCAGCCGGCAGCCTGAAAAGTGTGGAGAAGATAGAAGCAGGGCAACCTGCATCCCTTTCCCTTAATTTGAAGGGCTGCTTGGAAAAATATTGATGGACTCAGGGAGCCCCATCTCTTCTGAGGTCTCTAGATGCAAAAACGAACCCAGTGGTGCTGTTTGGGAACAAGAGGGGGCAGACTTACTAAGGACTGGTTTGTGGCTGGGTACAGAGATCATCTTGGTGTATGTAAGTATCTTCTCCACATTTAACATACACTGTCCCAGAAAGCCCCTTGTGAAGACTGTCATGTCTGTGCTGCAGTCGCTTAGAAAAAGCATTCTGGATCCCTGGTTGTTCCAGTATTCAGCGAAGTGTATTTTTGTGTTACACAAATCACAAACTTTTTCTTTCCAGGCTGTACAGCTCCTCTGTTTGCTGTGGCTTTTCCACCCTCCAGTTGGGTGCCAAGTGCAATTTACTTGCTGTCTAAGGAGGCATTCAGAAAGAAGCCAAAGTTTCGGAACTTGTTTGGTAGGGAGAACAAAGGATTATTTTTTTTCCTCCCACTGCTAATCATTAGCTCAATTTCCTCCTCTTCGGGATGAGCACTTTTTGCTGAATAATAAGCAAAGGCTTTAGAGGAGTTCTGCCTTGAGGTAACCAACAGATTTAACTCTAATAATGGCTACATCAAATAGCTTCAGGTTAATTGTGATGAGGTGCTGTAATCCCACTTAATTTCTGTGGAAATTACACATCTCAATTACTTACGTAATTTTGAGGCTTGCTCTTGACTTTTGAGGGTTTTAAGCTGCGGAGGCGCTTTCTCAGGTGGCATGTCCAACCCAAGCAGTTGTATACTTGAACATTCAGTTCAAACTCCGGCCACTTAGTGTCTGAAAATTCCTGTAGTTATTAAACTTGCTCTGTATTCATTATCTGTGCTGGGGAATGTGTTTTTTTTTAGGAATGACTCTTGGCATTATGGAATGCATTTTTTTATACAGTTAAACAGTGATCCTGCAGAGGTGTCACCAAAAGCTGTTTGTAACACTAGAGGAAATAAATTAAAGGTATCTCTATTCCTGTTAAATATAAGTAGAAAATCTTTCTGATTTTGCACTAGTGAAAACAGGCTTGAGGTGATGACAAATTTGGGGCTAGGAATAAATCTTGCAACTGCCCATGACTGAAGAGAAGAAAAACCTTAGCAGAGAGAAATGACCAAAAGTAACCTTTGTTTTTGAGTACAAGTATATGCTGTGGCATGGCAAATAGTGTTCATGTTTCTGGGTTTTTAAGAAGCTTTTATTTAAAAAACAAAAAGTAAATGTGGCTTAAAAATGATCAGGTACTTGTGTGTGTCTTGTTTCTATCAGGAAACAAATGAAAGAGCTGGAGGAGTCAGGATTCCTGAAAGGATCTTTGAATGCAGAGAAGCAGTTGGCTCTCATCAGCATCTGCACAGACCTGAAGGCAGCAGTAGAGGGTGCTACTTTCATTCAGGTAAGCAAAGATTTAGCAACAGCTAGCAAACAGTTTAAGAAAGATGATGAAAAACTACTGCGCAGTAGGTGGGCGGTGGAGAGTTCAGCACCCTGACCCTGTGAGGATGGTTGTGCTTGTTATGATTAAAGTTCTTTCCAGCCTAGTATCCCAGCAGGGGAGATCATGTCTCTTTGCAGGTTTGCCTGCTCAAGAGTCTTTGCAAGTTTCTTTTGGGTTATATTGGAAGAGGCTGACAGCTGGCTAAGCTGAGAGGGAATTGCTGACCTCCACATGCAACAAAGACCATACTTGTTAGAAGAAGGAGTCTGGGGCAGGAGATTCTTGGGGGAGAGCTTATCTGTTTCAGCAACATCGCTCATGCTAGAGCTAGGACTAAAAAGTATTTCTTCTCCAGGTATCTAGGTAAGGCAGGGAATATGGCTATGCCCAGGACTGACTTGTGACTGGTGAAAAGCAAGCCTCTTCTTGCTTGTGCCCTCAGGCAAAAACAGGTTAGGCTCTGTGGAGCGCACATCCTATCTCTGCCACAATCGCTTGTCACGGATGCTACAAAGTGCTGCATGAAGAGGGAGAACTGTAGCCAAAACCAACTATGGGCAGAGCATTAGAGTATTAAAAATAAGGTTAGTAGGCAGGGCTGGGTCTGTGCTGCTAATAAAATCTGGCTGGGGAACAAGTTAAATTATTGGACCTGATTGTTCTGTGCTGCATAACTACTCATGTGCTCATTGATATGGGTATAGTTAAGGGAATAGGTGCATTAGTGACTGTTTCTGGAGTAAAGGCTGAATGAGTCTGTGTCTGCACAGAACTCAACATACTCTGCCCTGTGTGGTTGCCCAGTACTATTCCAGGATTGTACCGTTAACTCTTCCACAACACGTGTTGTACCCAAGAGTTTACAGTTTAGTGTTTCAAGCTGTAAATCCCACAGCCTGCTTAGCTGCAGCACATCCTCAATACTAAAAGAGGACAGATGTCCAGACCCCATCTTCCTCCTGTGTAGCCAGTTGAGTGGGGAAGAAGGGGAGGCAGAGGGAAGCCTCACAGAGCAGTCAAGATGTGAATGTACTTGCAGATTCCTACAGTCATGTACTGTTTTGTGTTCGCTTCCTTTTCACAAGGTCATGAAACTATATGGTGTTAGCTCAGTATCTTACTTCCTCATTAGTAATGAGCTTAGAGTTTGTCAGTTCATATTGTTTTCACATATGTATCACGTCTACAGAGTTTAATCTGCAAGTTTGTCTATTCACTCAGTCTTATAAAGTCCTCCTGCAGATGTTTGCGGTAATAATGAGAAGGATCAACTTAAATCTATGAGCTAACTTGCAGGTCATTTAATCTTTGTGAAACAGTACTGGTCAGCATCTTTCACTGAGTAAGAGCTGACTGTTCTTACTTGATGCTTACCATCTTTACCAGTTACTGTCCATGAAAGGACTTTTTTTTTCCCCCTCACATAGCTAGTTAACTTCCTTGAAAGCCTATATATGTCAAATGTCTTGGTCTTTGTAACAAGACTTCTGGACATCCTTACTGACTGCATCAGCTGCATGACTCCTGTGCCTGTTGCCTCATTTAGAGGCAACTAAAAGATTCAACAATTCAACTAGATTTGTGAGGCAATGCTTCTCTTTGAAAACGTTGCTTTGACTCTTCCACATTTATTTAAAGCTCATTCAGTGCTCCCTTTTTCTCTTAACTCTCTTAATAGAGACATAAAGCTTACAGGCTCAGTGTTGAAATCTTCCCGTAGTTTCCTTAAAATTGGCACTGTGCTTGCTACTCTCCTGCTCTTTGCTATCAAAATGCATACATTCCGTTGTTTCAAGTGAGCAGCTGTGTATCACTTACTGGTTTGGGGCAATGCAAACACATCAAAACTGGATACCGTGTCCCAGTACCTTGATTTCCCCCCCCCCCCTTTTGTTCTAAGATTTCTTCCACTTCTTCCCACTTGAGACAGACCCTGGGAGCTCCTAAGAGGAGATCTTCAGTGTCTGCAAGGAGTAGAAAGGAGAAGTGGAAATATATATTAAAAATAAATAAATAAAAATAAATAAATTATTCTGTTATCCAGATGTTCCTTATGTACTTAGGTTATTTCTTGGTTCTATACATTACTCTTAATGCATTCTGAAGGAGAAATAACCTTTTTCTGTGTATTTTTTGTCTTTGGCAAATAAACAGTCCTTTGCTGGCACGATCATTTGAGCACCTGGTTCTCACAGCTTTATGAAGTCTGCCTTCTTGGTTCTAGCAGACTCCAAGTTTTGCCTGTTTTCTCTTGCTCTTTCAAGCATTTCTTACCACCTAGTATGTCAATATGGTATGTCTGTTCCTTCCATGCCACCTGTAAGCATCCAGTCCTCTTTTGCTGGCAAGTGTGCATCTCCTTTCAAGCATCCTCAGTTGTATTTTACTACCTTCTGAAGCTGAGTGCAGCTGTAATAGAGTTACTAGCACTTGTTACTAGCACCTAGAGATTTTGAATGTTTGCTTTTGTTCCTGGTAGAGAGGCTCTTCAGCCCTAAGAGTTTTCAGTAAGGTCCTGCATGCTGCTTCAGATGAAATCAGGGGCTGCATTTTTCTGTCCCCTTTGTATTCTTCTTGATCAGCTGATCAGCGAAGCGGGCATTGGGAAAGTGGTGCAAAATCAGAGTAATTCTGTGTTGGAAGGGACCTGTGGAAGTCACCTTGTCCAACCTGCTGCTCTAAGCAGGACCAGCTTACATCAGCTTGCCCAGAGTTTGTCCAGTTGAGTTTTGCATATTTCTAAGGATGGAGACTTCCAGCCTCCTCAGGTAACTTGTTACAGTATTTGATTATTCTCATTGTGAAACTTCTTTTCTGGTATCTAATTGGTATTTTCCTTCCTGCAACTTTTGTCCCTTGCCTCTTGTCCTACTACTGTGGACCTTTGAGAAGAATCTGGCTTGTGTGTGCTCCCTTCAGGTAGCTGAAGACAGCGGTGTTGCATTAATAGTGCCTGAATAGCAACAATCTACCTGGGGTAATGCAAGCTCTCAAGCTTTCTGGTACTATCTTATGTTCTCTTAATCCTTCTGATAACACTTAACAGCTACATGTTGTACATATAAATAAATGAAGGAGGTGCAGCATGCTGAAGGGTAACAAGCCTGAAGTGTGAAACACTGTTGGTGGTGTTCATATCAGCTTATCAGTTCCAAGCCATAGTATCAAATTTTGGCTTGAAATGAAGTGTTACCAAATACACAATGTAAGCAGACAAATTATTTGAACTAGTCTTCAGTTTGTTCTTTTGGAGGTGAGAAGGGAAATAAAAAAAAAATAAAAATCCTTATTTTTAGGTTCATAGCCCTATTTCAGCATTGAACTGACTACTTTCTGCCTGGATGAACCATATTAAACTTCTGAAACTTCACAGCATACAGCTTTCCACCTGGAAGGACAAGGTGGACTATGAAGACAAGTGTATTGTTTTCTTTTTTTTCTTATTTTTAATTTTTGGTTACTTAAAAATTAAGATGTCATTTGCGTTAATCTTAGTTGAATATAGAGGGCTTAATTTTCTGGCCTAGCAATAAAAACCTACTGATTAACTTGTCAGAAGACTTCCATGAGATCTCCATTTCTTTGCACTAGATTTCAGTTGGTTAAATCTTAACTTATTTTCAAATTTGGCCTTTGTAGAGTAAGTCCACCTCAAACTAAAAATTTCCTTGATGTTTGCACTGCTTGAGTGAATTCTGCAGATGGCCTTCTATGCTGGTTTAGTGGGACATAACTTGAAACGAATGGGGTGAAATTATAAAAATATGAAACTTCTTGAATAGCAGTAATGAAGATACAATGAAAAAGTGAAGTGAAAGATGCAAGAAATAATTAGAAGGACTGAGAAAGACTACTATTTGGAATAGTAGTGTTGTGAACTTCTAAAAACAAGGTATGCCTTGCTGTGTTTTTGTTTATATCTTCTATCTCATGGACACTTCTATGAAGTAAGCTATCTTGATGATTTGGTGTGCTTTACATCATCTTCGGAAGGAAATTAATTTGCTTTTTGCTTTAAAACTGAGTATTCACCCAGGAAAATGACGGAAGTGCAGTTTCACCTCTCAGTTTTCCTGTGCTATGTAGAAGCAGTTGGCAGTGCCTCTAATTACTAAATAATAAAAATCAGTGCAGCATTTGTATAATCTCTTACCATGGTGCTATTAAAGCAAAAGCCTTTCTTTATATGCTTTGCTCTATTTTTCTGTTGCTAAATTGTTCCAAAGCCTATTAGCTCTCATAGGAGGATAAAATGACTAGCTGCTGGTAAGATTTGATGCTTGAGCTACCGTGTTCTCCAGCAGCAAGCAGGGAGAGTGCCTGGGCTTTGAGGCCAGTGCTCACGGTGAGCTGCCTGCTCAGGGAGGTGCTCTTGGAGCCTGCCAGCTGGGCTGTGGCATGGGACAAAGCAGGCTGGCAAGAGGATGACGTTAAGCTTGGAATTCAGACTACTGAATTCATAATTCATACGGAATTCATAAGGAGAGGATTCATAATCCCATGGTGTGAGGTATTTATCCTTTTACATTTTAAAGGAACTTTTCCAGAACAGCCCTTGAGCAGTTTCTTTTTTTTTCCTTATGTTAAAGTGGGAGGACTCCCTCCCACCACCCTACCTTACATGTGCAAACTCTTGAACTGATAATAATAACACTAATAGATTTTTGGCTTGGTTTCTTTCAGACCTTCCAGGATGTATTATATCTCCCAGGTAGACATAAATAATAATTTAAAAAGTGCTACCACCTTAAAATTAACTTCTAGAAAGTCTGGATGCGTTTCAGGATGGGATAACAGCATTGACTTGGGAGTCTTGACAGCTGGTGTCTCGTGTCTCTTGTCACACAAACTTGCTTGACTGATTGGTACCAATTTCTACCGTTAGTGTTTGTTCTGCTCTTCTGATGGCTTCCAAGAAGGTTTGGGCTTCTGGTGGTGACCTGTCTGCAGACAGGTCAATGTGCAAAGGTGTCTTCAGCTGCCCTGAGCTCGTAGGCTGGGAGACAATCCTGGTTTGGAAGCTGTGTTAATGAAGTACCTGTGTAAATGAAAAGCTGCTGCGAGGCAGTGTGCAAGCACTGCGGTAACAGCTTCTTTGGGACTGGTGTCTGGTCGGCTTGGAGCACTGGACAGGCAAACACGGATCTGTTTGCTCTTAACTGGGCAAACATAACCTTAGGCCTGGTTTTACCTTATCTACCTCAAACACTGGTCTGAGGCACCAGCAATTCCATTTCAGCTTCTGAGGGAGCTGGTTCTAGGGACATCAACTGCCTCGCCATTGCTGGGGAAGCTTGAGGAAAACTGTTCTCCATTTTTAGGGGTGAAACAGTTTGAGCTCAAAGATTTGCTGTGAAATACTTGATGAAGTCCATGCTTGAGATGAACTGGAAGTTTGAGTAGGCAGCTGTGGTGCTGCTGTTGAATGGACTTTTATTCTTCCAAATTTCCAGACGTTCATTCCCATCTAGCCTATACATGTACCAGCTGGCACTGTCAACCATTATGGACTTTAAAATGGTTTTGGTCCCTGCTAGAGGAGGTCTTCACTGCTATAACTGTTGTCCTGCCCAGCAGTTAACCCTGCTCCTGTGTTTTTTCACTGTTCTCTGGTCTCTTTTCAAGAACTGTATTATATTTCCATTGCCTTTCCTGGATTCCTTCCCCTGGCAATTTTCCCTGTTTTTCAGGTTGGATGGGATCACAGTAGAAGGAAACAGCAGGTCTGATTCTTCGAGAAAGGATGTGGGGAGGAGGATGTTGATCAGGCATATCTTGAGATCGTTTTGCCCCTTCCCTAAAGGACCAAAAAGGATCCTAATCCCTCCTGTGGCAGCCCTGATCATCTTCTTTGTCTGTCTCTTGAAAGCTTTGTAGGATACAGTAACCTCATGGAAAAAGGTGGATGTCTTCATGGCGTGATACTGACACTAAGTGAGATGAAACTTGCCTTCATTTATATATTAAAAACAAACAAAAACCAAGTAACAACAATTCTCTACATTAAAAAAAAAAAAAAAACAAAACAACAAACACTCCTAAATCTATAAGTTTTCACTCTGATTTAGATAATATGTAATTCTGCTCTCCCAGCTCCCTTTCTGTGTTTTATACTGACTGAAGGCTGAGCAGCCACCTGTAATTCACTTGTTTGTTCTAACAGTGTACAGTGGCTGCAACTTGATATTTTGCTGCTCCAGTTCCTTAACAGGGCATGTTTCTGAACTGTAGGAAAGTACAAAATGTTTCCATCGAAATGCTAGATTTCACCTCACCAAAGTGGTATTTATTTGTACAGTATCATGTGGTAGGCAGTCTCTCCTGTCAGTTGAGCTGGTGATTTAGGAAGCATCAGATTTCCCTCTAGTATGAACTCATCCAGTCAAGGCACCTAACAAGTTATTTTGGTAGATTTGAGGTGAGTTAATAGCCACAAAATTTCTAATTTGTATTTCTTTTCAAAGTCAGATTAGCCTAGAAATGCTGGTGTTTTAACTGGTGCCTTTGTAACTGCTCCATGACAAATTAGGCTTGCTGGTCTGTTGCCCTGTAGCTGACAATTTTAAGTTCTTTTAAAGCCTTTCTGAATATGAAAGTTCTGAAAAGTTCTGAAAGTATCCAGTTCTGAAAGCTGGATACTTGTAGATTTGCTGTAGGACACTTTTATAACTATATTTTGAACTGAAATTTAAACAAGTCCAAACAATATGAATTGGAGTTAAACTTGTATAGGGGTTGCCCTGGCTCTGAGCATCTGCTCCTCAACAGAAGAGCCTGTGGGAGGATTTCACCTTTATGAGAAGGTTCACCCTTACCTTTAGCTGCCCTGCCAGCTCCTGTGTTGTCCAAAGCCTGTCTGGAAGGAACTTCAGAGGTTATGTAGTCCATCCAGTGCCCCGAGGCAGGATCAGTCATACTCGGACAAGTGTCTGTCAGAAATGGTTCGACTTGTTCTTAAAATTGTCATGTGATGGGATTCCTTCTCCTTCCCCCTGTTAAGCACTTTATTATCTACCCTTATTCTGAGTCTAACTGAAGTCCTGGGACGTGAATGTATGTGACCATGCCTTTCCATTTTATTTACCATTTTTATAGGTACCACAAATGGTGGTAACGTGTTTTACCACCACTCATTAATTGCTTGCTGGTCTGCTCTTCAGTTAAGGTGCTGCTGTCCTTATCCTGTGAGCCATGGGTAAGAGAGAAGGATACCGGTCTGTGTTCAGGTTGAAAACAAAGACTTGATTGCTCAGATTGTGTGGCTTGTTTTAGGGTAACTAATTTGTTTCACATCTGAATCTTTTGTCCACAGACGTATTGTGTTACTGATCCAGTATTTGAACATGTGCTTAAACCCCTTTTTGGAGGAAGTCCTGCACCAGCTGTGTGGAATGCATGTCTGCAGGGGGGAGAGGGGCAGGCAGCCCGTTGAGCTGTCTTCCCTTGGCTTGTATCCCACGTTGCCTGGGTTCCTGCCTCACCCCAAGTGTTTTGGGGCCAGTCTCTTGATCTCACCTCCCTGCAGTGCTCAGCCAGGTGCTCCCCTGTGCTCCGAGCTGCTGGGGCTCCAGCTGTGGTCCTGCTCTAACACAGCCACATCAATTATAAGAGTACATTGTTGATTTTCTTTTTTTCTTTTCTTTTTAATCTTCCTCACTTTAACCGATCAAAATGCTGATACCACACCGAAGGATGCTGCGTAGCCTGGGGCCTCCCTCACTGACAGCTGTGTGTGCATCTGCTGTTCCTCTGCCGTGTCCCACACCCGTACGGCGGTGTGCGAATGTCTCCTGTCCAGCAGCTGTCCTTACCTTCACCCTCAGATAAGGGTAATAGCCTTCCTTAAAAGGAGACAGAAAGAAATGTTTCTCCTCACCCACACCCCATCTTTGTAGTTCAAAATGGTGCATTCTTATTTGACATCGTGTCTTTGTTAAATACTTAATTACTAGACATGGTTGTTTCTTGGGATTTGAGGGGGAGGAGGGGAAAGCTTAGAGTGACGACCTTAAAAACTAAAGCTGTAAAGCACTTTAACACCCCTGGCTTTGACATCCTCAAAATAACTTGAGAGACTAAGAGAAAACTATTAGTTTAGTTTGTTTTGACTTCTGTAATACGAGAACCCAGGAATAATGTGCAGTGACTTACCTTTTCAAAACAATCCACGCTTGCAACTTTGCAAGACCTGCACTTGCAGTCCTATCTCTTCCCTTCTGCTTGTGGTGTGAGTAGTGTGTTAATAGCCTGTACGTGCTGCTCCTTGCACTTGTTACTGATTTGTGAAGTCAAGACAACTTGTGGACAATCCCAGGACTTATATTTAACCACAGATATAACAGCAAATGTTTTGGAAAGTCACTGTTAGAACTCTGATAGGGCTGGAAAGACCTGATGGGGATTTAATTTCAACATGCTAGAGAAAGGGGAAAAATATTTTCTTTACAGACTCTGTGAACATTGTATTTACTTCTCTGCCCTGTGCCAGAGGAAGTAATTAACACCTGAGTGATTCACTTCAGAGTGTAAAGGAGTATACCTTAAGCCAGAGTGTGGGGAGGCTGTTTCTCTCTTTTTTTTTTTTTTTTTTTTTTTTTACTGTTATACTTCCTTATGTAGATATCTTGAGGAAGCTTTTACATGTTATTGCTGGAACTGATTTTAGTTGGTATGTTCATCATTGACCTGAGAGTGTTGGTAAACACACCCAGTACTTGAGTTTGTAGGTGATAGTAAATTCTTTTAGGTGGCCTAATGCAATGCAAGCCGAAGAAATTCCTGACAAGCCTCCTAAATCCGAGCAGAGAAAAAGTAGTAGGTGAGTAGTAACGCAGATGTGAAAGAACATAAGGAAAAACTATTTAAATCATGGCTACGTGATTCTGAAGTCACAAGTAGCAGTTGCAGTTTGGGAACAAAAATGTAATTGTCCAACATTTCTCTAAAAAGTTCTCTAAAATGATCAATGCAGTGCATGTTTGCAGGAAAAAAAAAAAGCTTGCAAAATTCTGAGTATCACTTGGGAAGGGGTGAGAGGTGAGTGGGAGGTTATTGTTATACTGCTGTATGAAACGTTGGTGTGCCCTTGTCTCATAGGTGCTAGACTGCAGACAGTGCTCACCTCACCAAGGATGCGTGAGAACTAGAGGAGGTGCAGGAGGAGAGCAACTGAAATGATGAGGGGGCTGGAGCCCCTTGAAAGAAAGCACCACTTCACGTTGCGGGCAGCGAATTGCTGAAGCTGCCTGCCATGAGAAAGTGTGGTGGCATAAAGTATCAGCAGGTTCTTACAAGAATTAAGCAAGCTGGGGGACAATATAGTGGGCTAGAGGATGTTTCTTATGTTCTTAGGGAAAACCTGGACAACTCTCATCTCTGAGTCATTGCGTCCATGTAACTTGGTTTGGGGAGGTTCCACTTGTCTCTGTGTATGTTGTGTATGTGTGTATTTTAAGATTAATTATATAAAAAGGGGGGGGGGCTATCACCCTACAACATTTTAGACCATCCATCTTAAGCTTTTGATACAGATGAGGAAAACTCTATTTATAAATACATATAGTCATAAATTTATTTTGATGCAGAAAAGGTAAAAGAATACGTTAAAAAAAAAAACAAAACAACAATGTGGTGAGATCTGTCTCAGAGTTGCACCATACAGTCATTGTTTACATATCTTACAGTCAAACTATTTGTCACTTGGCTGAAACAACAAAATGCTTTGAATGATTGTGTCTAGTGTAAATAGTAATAAAAATAGTTTGTGTCGAAATTGATAAAGAAATAGAGTCTTAATTTTAAACCTGTTCATATAACAGTTACTGGTATATCCACACATTATTTATCTTAAAACATGTCTCAAAATAAGCACCTAAAATTACTTCAAAAAAGGGTGATATAATAGGAAAACCTGGAATACTTGCTGTCACTTGTATTGCGTAATCATTTTGAATTTTGTGTAGCTACCCAAACCTGTTTAATAACTGTGAAATACTTGATAGTTGAGCTAAATCGGTGACAATAACATCAGAAACAAAATTGATATTTTTACATAATGGCTTGTTCTGATGTTGAAAACACCATTTTATTTTTCAGCCTGCTTTTTCAGCCAAACCCCTAAGCATTGCAGTCAAAATGTCACACTTCTTAATTGCAGTGGTGTGGTTTGTGTGTAACTTGTCTGCTGAGCAGGCTGTGTGTATCGTTGTTATGACAAAACAAAAAGAAATAAGGCCCCCTTTCCTTGATAGTGCACCTTTGATCTTCCAGACAAGAATTGCAGACCTAAACCCTGCAGAAAAGATGAAACTAGCAAGTCTAACAAAAGCCTAAACAGAAGTAATAGTTAGTATTGAAATCCTAATTATACTAGTGAGTGTTTTAAACACTATTTTACTTTAAGTATAATTTGATTTTGGTCGGTATGGATTCTGTGAAACAGCAACAGTGAGGAGCACAGCAGTGCATATGCATACACAAGTGCAGTATTGCTTCAATAACGTCAGTGATCTCAACTGTGCAAGTAAGCAAGTAATATTGTACAAGAATTGTCTGCTAAATTGCAAGGTTTAATTTACAGATAGAATGTACAAATGCTAAAATAAGCTGTTTTTGAAGTCATCTGTTTTTGTTTTTTCTATGAGAGTCCTTTATTATTTATATCTGCTAAATTATTTGTAATATAAAATATTAGGCTTTTGACTGTGCAGTTGCTAAATATAGTTAATAGATCTTTGAAATCTGTTGTTTAACTAAATTTACAGATCTTACAGATGTCTGTCCTTATAGAGATGAACTTAATACAGTTTAAAATCCACGGGTCCCTGCTTTATGCAGGTTTGTGTGAATAAGGCTTTGTTTTTAAAAATGCATCTTTCTAATGTGATTTTGTAGGTTAAAAATAAAACAATTATGCCTGAAGTCTTTTCTGTGTTCTTTCTAGTGGATTATAACTCCAGAAGATAATGAAGGTATTTGTATAAAGGGATTAGGCACCAAGACTTTCAGGAAAGCAGCTTTGAGTTGCAGAGGTCTCTCTGCTCTTTGTTTCTTAATCCTGTGAATATCTTTGTATTCCCTCCAGAAGCTGGTAGTCTGTTGCTGTAGGAATTAATGTGGTTTGTGTCCCAGGAGTGCTGTCGGTCCAGGTCCAGCTTGTGGGACAGGTCAGTGCTCCAAAGGTGGCTGCTGTACATCCTTGTGTATGAGAGGATCGCTGTCACCTGGCTCTGGAAAGCGTTTTCTAGAAAAAGAAAAGCTGAGACCACTTACAGTGCTGTAAATTACACGTGTACAAACACAGGAACAGAGCCAAGGTTCGTGGTATGTTTGGAGATCCTCACTTAACTGCACAAGATGAAGAGCATGCTTGTAGCAGTTGAAGTGGTTACGGTTTCTAAACAGCTCACCTGCTGCTTGAAGCCCTGTTGAATTCAGTGGGGACTAAGATGGCCCAGAACTCCTGCAAGGAATTTTCTACCTTTTGTTGTGGTTAGGGCAAGGCTGCAGGGCGCTCCTGCTGCAGCAGCTGCAGCATAGCAGTGAAGTACAACCGCTGGGGGTTAGGTGGTGTGCTCTGCGAGCCAGGTGAAGGTAGGGGAGGAGGAGAAGTACTGCCTAGGGGACTTCATAACATGCTATGAGCTAGGTGGCTCACCTGTGAGCAGGTGAATTTTTCAAGAATTATTTCTTTCAAGTTCAAGATTGATCCATCTTCACTTGCAGAAATTTACATTGTTATAAATGCTCATATTAATATTCTCAGGGAACAATTTTTTTTATTCATTGCTTCTTCAATACACAGCAACCAGAATCTAGTCAGGAGGTAGAAACTCATCATTGTACAGCTGTGGGCTTTCAGTTTCTTTTTTTGGGGATTCCTCACACTTGGTGACCACTGTCAAGCTCCATGCTTGCTTATAGAGGTGTTTCTGCTGCTCACTCTGACAGCATCATCAGGTGCTGTTATAGAAAGTTGGCTTGCTTGTTGCTGAACAATTAGTAATCTCCATGCCAGCTTAAATCTTTGGCTTTCATCTTACACTGTGATGCTTGTACTGCTATTTTAGGACTATACCGCTGTGTTGCAGTGCTTCGCTCCAGGCCATGCTTTGCTTCTTCACCTCACAGTGCTAGTAAATCCATTGCTTTGGCAGCAGCTCCAGTTGCTGGTGCAAGGAGAAGGGAGGTATTTTGCAAGATAGTGTTCTGGGGAGTGTTTGCTAGAGGGTGATGCAGGTGAATTGCTTCCTTGGCATACCCAAGAACGGATAGGAAGAATCTGGGCAGATGCCAGCATTTAATATAGGTAAATGAAGCTGTGCTCTCAGGTGAGCATGGATGTGTGTGGGAGTGCAGATGGCATGGTGGGAAAAGCCTGTACAAAAACACAAACCCTCTTGATTTCAACAGATTAAGCTTCCTAGCTTTGTATGTACTGGCATTCAAATGGTCGCATCATATGTGGGTACAGATCCTTAGTTAGGGGCAACTGAACCCTGATCGCAATGTCAGGGTATTGTTAGGGATAACTCAGGTATGTCCTTAACCTTCTCTAGTTCCTTCAGAGCTCATAGGCTGCCCGAGTAGCAGCTATGTTGTCTCTGAACCTACAGGTAACAGGCATTAAGCTGTCTGACAAGAAGTCTTTAATACAGTGCAGCTATTCCAGGAGGTGGGTTTTAAAAATGAGCAGCTGTCGTGCTCTGCTCAGGCTGCTGAAGAGGACATTTAATAAATTTCTAGTCAGATTAGCAGCAGCCTTGTCCAGACGTTCAAGCCTTGGGATAAAGGCGTACTGTTTCTCACAAATGAGAAGTGCAATCTCTACAAAAAGTGCACAGAAATATACGGTGTCACTTAAAATGCACTGAGGTGTTGGCTAACCTTTTTTGCACTGATTCTTTGAGGGGGACTGTGGTAGCTTTAAAACTGAATCTTATCTTGCTGTTTGATCTTCTTTTTCTCAGGGTAAACAGAATAGCCTCAGACCGCTCCAGGCTCCATAACTGACAGCAAGTGAGGCTCCTGTTTAATAGGTTGTTTAGAGTTTAATTTTTCCCCTCTGTTCTTAAGGGAATCGGTGTCTCTGAGAAAATAATTGCATGCCCGATGAGGACAGAAGCTTTATTGCGGTGGTCCAAGAACCTGAATACAATTGCGACGATATATGAGAAACTTCAAGCAAATGGCCCATTCAGAAACCTTACGTAACTGTGGCAGGTTTGAGTTTCCAGCAGATTCGGATTTGCCTCTTTGATTATCATTTGATGTGAGAGGAGGCTTAGGGTTTCAAGTTCACAATACGTCTATTCAGTGAGACCCGTTTATTAGCCTGAACAGTATCTGCAGAGTTCTCTTCATCTTTGGCTTTACTAAAAGAAGCTATTTAAACTTAATTCCAGGCTCCAAGCTTGTTGGTTATGAGCAGAGTATCACTTTGTTTTGATAAGGATGTCTATTACTTTGCGCTCTCTCTGGAGTTCTTAAATGACCCCGTTTATCTCTTCTGCATCATGGAACTTTCAGTGCTGCCCCATGCAACGTGCTTATTTTCTTGGAAGACTTCAAATTAGTCTTAACCCATTTATATCCAGCCTGATGGAAACTCTGGGCATTCCTGCTGAGTTCAGCATAGCAGGAAGGACCAAATGACATGCTGATAGGTGGGAGAATCTTAGGGCTGGAAAAAAGTAGGTACTTTCTGCGTTTTGATGGGGAAGCTGAAGTTTTGCAAGTTTAGGATTATTTTTAGACTCTGTGAAACCCTTCTGGGGAACAAAAAACAATAAAAACAAACAAACAAAAAAAGCTGGCTGACTTTATTCCCCTGCTTTGTCCTGGACAGACTGAAGTCTTTCCTATTGATTGTGAGATCCACTGTAGTTCTCCCATGTCCATGTTGCTCTCAGACTGGTGAACGTGTGCGGGATCTGCTACTCCACCTGGATCCCTACAAGTCCATGAGTCCGGATGGGATTCATCCCCGGGTGCTGAAGGAGCTGGCGGACGTCATCGCGGAACCTCTCTCAATTATTTTTCAACGATCCTGGGAGTCTGGAGAGGTCCCGGTAGACTGGAAGCTGGCAAATGTTGTGCCGATTTTCAAGAAGGGTCAGAAAGAAGACCCTAGCAATTACAGGCCTGTCAGTCTCACGTCAGTGCCTGGTAAAATCATGGAGAAGATGGTTCTCGAACGTATTGAGGCGCACCTGGGGGACAAAGCAGTCATTGGTCCCAGCCAGCATGGGTTTGTGAAGGGTAGGTCCTGCCTAACTAACCTGATTTCCTTTTATGATAAGATCACCCGTATGGTAGACCAAGGGAAACCAGCTGATGTGATTTTTTTGGACTTCAGCAAGGCTTTTGACACGGTTTCCCATAGGATCCTACTGGACAAAATGTCCAGCATACAGCTAAATAAAAACATCATACGATGGGTGAGCAATTGGCTAACGGGCAGGGCCCAAAGGGTTATGGTGAATGGGGCTGCGTCAGGCTGGCGGGCGGTCACCAGTGGGGTCCCTCAAGGCTCCATTTTAGGGCCGGTACTTTTCAATATTTTTATAAACGATCTGGATGTAGGAATAGAAGGCATTTTGAGCAAGTTTGCTGATGACACCAAACTTGGAGGAGTTGTGGACTCGAATGAGGGTGGAAAGGCCTTGCAGAGGGATCTGGATAGGTTGGAGAGCTGGGCGATCGCCAACCGCATGAAGTTCAATAAGAGCAAGTGCCGGGTCCTGCACCTGGGACGGGGAAACCCTGGCTGCACGTACAGACTGGGCGATGAGACGCTGGAGAGCAGCCTAGAAGAGAGGGATCTGGGGGTCGTGGTAGACAACAAGTTGAATATGAGCCGGCAGTGTGCCCTGGCAGCCAGGAGGGCCAACCGTGTCCTGGGGTGCATCAAGCACGGCATCGCTAGTAGGTCGAGGGAGGTGATTGTCCCGCTCTACTCTGCGCTGGTGCGGCCTCACCTCGAGTACTGTGTGTAGTTCTGGGCACCACAGTATAAAAAGGACATGAAACTGTTGGAGAGTGTCCAGAGGAGGGCTACGAAGATGGTGAAAGGCCTGGAGGGGAAGACGTACGAGGAACGGCTGAGGGCACTGGGCCTGTTCAGCCTGGAGAAGAGGAGGCTGAGGGGAGACCTCATCGCAGTCTACAACTTCCTCGTAAGGGGGTGTCGAGAGGCAGGAGACCTTTTCTCCATTAACACCAGCGACAGGACCCGCGGGAATGGAGTTAAGCTGAGGCAGGGGAAGTTTAGGCTGGACATCAGGAAAGGGTTCTTCACAGAGAGAGTGGTTGCACACTGGAACAGGCTCCCCAGGGAAGTGGTCACTGCACCGAGCCTGACTGAATTTAAGAAGAGATTGGACTGTGCACTTAGTCACATGGTCTGAACTTGGGTAGACCTGTGCGGTGTCAAGAGTTGGACCTGATGATCCTTAAGGGTCCCTTCCAACTTAGGATATTCTATGATTCTATGATTCTATGATTTCTGCATGCTCTTCTTCAGGCAGCTAATGGGGATAACTTTAAAATTACTGGAGAGGTTCTGGCTGTTGGCTCATATAGGTAAAACTTCACACAACTCTGTAGTGCTGAACATGCTCTGTAGCTTGGGGGAAGTTTTGATAGCGTGCATTCCACTTCAGAAATCTTTTTCACAGTTGAAGTAGGTGTCTGTATTTAAGCTTTTAAAGCATGGGGATCACAGATATTTCAGTGCAGGTTTCAGAACTGTAAGTTGTGTTATTCTGCCTTAGTTCTGGAAATCATAGATTTGTCTTCTTTTGAGCTACATATGATCATTTCCATCTTGTCTGAAAAAGAACAAAAGATGACTGACTTACTTCATTTAAGGTTCTCTTTTTTTTTTTTTTTAAATAAAAAAAAGGCAAATCAACAACAACAGAAAAGAACAAGTCTTATTCCTCCTTACTATGTTACCTCTGTATGAATAGAAGTCTATGCAAAGCAGAATCATCTGCTTTGTGTTAAATCTCCAGTGGTGTGTGGTCATCCATCTTCTGCTACAGAAAACCTCTAGAGCTTTCACTTCCTTTGTGTGTAGAAAGGTATCTTTGTAGTATGGCTCATGGTACATCTAGGCTGAATTAAAACTGGTGGTTTGTGTGGATCAGTGAAGTCTGAAATGCATAGATAAATGCTATTAAAATAGAAGAATTCTAATACTGTTCTTTGTTCTTATTTCAGGAATGTACTCCAGAAAACCTGGAACTGAAAAAGAAGATTTTTGCTCAGCTAGATCTAATTGTTGGTGACAATGTTGTATTGAGCAGCTCGACCTCTTGTCTCTTACCCAGCAAACTGTTCACTGGCCTTAAACATGTTAAGCAGTGTATTGTGTCGCATCCTGTAAGTATGGTGGCATGTATTGTTTTTATCGTAACATTATAGGTATTTAATGAGACTGTGTCCCAATTTCTTCTCTGCAGAATGAGAGGATATGTGGAGTGCTTTCATGTCTTTGTTAGTGTGCAGGGCCTGAATTTTTGGAAATGCTTTAGTTTGGTCATTCTGTGAGTGGCAGCATATACAAAATTGAGGTTTAGTGTATGTTTTGTACTATTGGTTCTAGATACCTTCCATGTAAATTCTTGTGTGCACATTGCGGTGTTATTCCAATTAATTGTTCTCAAAAAAAATTATAGGGACTCTGTGTTTTGTAGACGAACCTATAAAAGTCCCTGTGCTCTTCTGATGGCATCATTATTATTTTTCTTGATGTAATTTTTCAGTATCAGTAAGGTTCCAAACAGCAAGCTGTATGCACTTGTCAGGTAATGTAGATGAAAGGTAGAAAGCTTTAGCTCTGGTTTCATCAAATTATTGATGTAGAGGTGGTATACCTGAAGAGGAGCAGCAGAGAAATGAAATGAAATGGAACAAACTGTACATAGAGCTGAATTTGCATGCTTTGTGTCTGACTGGGACAAGGCAGTGATGCGTAAGTAGCATGACTAGAGGTGGCAGCAGAACCTCAGAATGCTGAAGGACACCTTTGAGCCTCTGTAGGCATTTGTGGGGCTGTTTTTCACAGCCTCTGTCCTCAGTGTGGAAGAATGTTTTGTCTTAATCACTGGGGTTTTTACTGCTTCTGTTTCTGGACTCTGAGTCTGTTGACTGATCTTGCAAACAGAAGGCTAATCTTATATTAAGAGGGCTGTGGTCATAAAGGCTTGCAGTAACTGGAGAATGGTACTCTTCTGCTGTATGTGGCTCATAGAATCACCGAATAGTTCGAGTTGGAAGAGATCTTAAGGATTATTGAATTCCAACCCCCCTGCCGTGGGCAGGGATGTTACCTGCTAGATCAGGTTGCTCAAAGCCCTATCTGACCTGGCCTTCTGCACTTCAAGGATGGGGCATCCACAGCTTCTCCAGGCAACGTGTTCCAGGGACTTGCCACCCACTGAGTGAAGAATTCCTTCCTTATATCTACCCCTATATTTCTAAATCTACCCTCTTATCCTATCACTCCACTCCCTAACAAAGAGTCCTTCCCCAGCTTTCCTGTATGTCCCCTTTGGGTATCAAAGGCCACTTTCAGGCCTCCCTGGAGCCTTCTCTTCTCCAGGCTGAACAACCCCAACTCCCTCAGCCTGTCTTTGCAGGAGAGCTGTTCTGGCCCCTTGATCATATTTGTGGCCCTCCTCTGGATTCATTCTGATACTTCAACATCCTTCTTGTGCTGGGGGGCCCAGAGTTAAATGCAACACTCCATGTGGGGTCTCATGAGAGCAGAGTAGAGGGGGAGAATCACCTCCCTTGACCTGCTAGCTAAAATGTTACTACACTTTGCCTTTCCAGGGCAGAATGTACATTAAATGCCAATTCCGTTGGCATACTCAAGAGTGGCAGTGTGAACACAAAAATCCAGCACTACTTTATTGTGATACCTCTACAGCTGCCTGTAGCCTAATGCTGCAAATTGTTTGGTCAGCCCCTCTGACACCCCTCCACCAGTACCATTGTGCCTTGGAGTGACTGAGGAGAAAAAGGAACAAAAGGATTGGTTTCTCTCCTTAAAACTGATTTTTTTATCCCCTTTTAACTAAAAAGGAAAAAGAAATCAAGCTTCAAAATACGTATCTGTGCCTAGGATTAGCCTTTCTCCAGTCTAAAACTAGGGAGTTCCTTATCTCAGATTTCTAGGATTGTAACTTTCCATAGTGCAAAAGATCATGTCTCTTCTAAGCTTCTGTATTAAGGAACTATAACTATGATTTTATTTTTGTTACCGTTTCCTAGGCTTCTTCCTGTGCTCTTCTGTTTGTCAGCCTTTCATTTTTTTTCCATTACTCTTTTATTGTTATCCCAAACTGGTTTATTCTGGTTGATCCGTTTAGTTTGAGCTGCAGCCTTCATAGGAGCTACTTCTGAAACCATCTTTGATCAGATCTGGCAAAGTAGCTAGTTTCTGCATAAACACTTTTCTAGGTTGCTGTTGTAAAGGTATGTGTGTTTTCCAAAGTAAACACTTCAGAGTGCCATAAAATGTGTAACTGCTCAGAGATGGCTTTGCAGTCTGAGACCATTTTCTGAGTAGTCTCAGCTTCACTCATAGGGGGGTGTACTATTCCAGGGCATTTCTCTATTTTTTTTTTATATCAGTAAAAACATTTGCTTTGTAGTAGTAGTTGGTTTTTGATTGTTTTGTTTTAATCATGACCTTACTAGCAATTTAAACAAAAGTAGGACATGGGGAATGGTGGCTGAAGGAAGGAAGCTGTACAGAAAGACACTGAAAATAAGAAGTGTGGAATTTGATACTTTTATAGAAAAATAAAAAGCTCAAGTTGTAAAGCCTCTGGGACAGGTGAGCATGCTGAGGAGAAATGAAGAGAAATTTCTCAAGTACTATATGAGCCTGCCCGATCACGCAGCTAGAAACACGGAGCTAGAGGAGACTGCCACTGAGTGAAGTTCCTTGCTGTAAGAGGAGCCATGTCATCAAGTTGCCTTAAAATATATTAAGCTCCCTCTTAGTTTTCGTTTTTTTTTTTCTTTACTTGACTGCTTCTATATGAAGTTTTATTTCAATCTTACTAACGGTCCACTAAAATTTGTTTGTGTAGACTGTGGTTTTATAGCTTTTGTCTAGTTTAATTCTGTCTGTTTTCTTCATTTATCCCTTCTTAGCTATCATTCTGTTAGGCTGAGTAAGGTAAACTCTCCTGCTCCCTTAAAAATGGCTTTGCATTACCCTTCTCATTTTTAGAAGCCTTTTTTTCCCCTCCCTTTCAATTTCATCTTCATTTTACCACGTTTAGTTGTTACCAACATTAGTTATCTCACTCTTAAACAATTGTCCTCCTAAGTCTCCACAGCATGCTCAGTAACACACCCATACACTCCTTGTGCCAAGTCAGTGAAATAAAATATTTCAATAAGGTCTCTGTCAAAACTAATCGTGGAAGAAATTCTTAATAGCCTCAGTCTTGCTCAACAATTAGCTCGTCTTCTTTCTGATGAGACCCGGTGATATACCTAAGGGTTAGAAAAGCCTTCAGAGAGCTTCTTGCAGTGTTTCAGGTCTTGCTGAATTGCCTGGCACCACCATGTCTGCAGTGGTGTCCATCACACCACACAGCTTTGTTGGTGGCACTGCCAAAGAAAATAAAGTAAATGTATTACATGGGTAAGAGCAGGCATAGTTGTACAGCAGGTTACGTGTTGGTCAGATGCTAAAGTAAAGGAAAACATGTAAGTGCTGAAACAAAAACCAAACCAGAGGAAGGACTGCTGGCACACTGCTGTGATTAAGTCCTGTATTTGCATTTACATGAGTACAGTTAAGAGCAGCTGACTGTGAGGGAACATGGTGAAAGAATCAGTATTTAATTATCGTCCTTTAAATGTGAATGTTTTTTCTGGTGGTCATTTATGGTATGTTGGGTCTGACTGTTGGAAATGAGTACAAGAGCTTCATTTAAGACCTTAAGAATATGGCTTACAGACTCCTACTTCTGGAAGGAGCACACACTGGATACTGCCTGTAACACTGACCTGAAGAACCTTAGGCACTTCTAGGATGTTCATTACAATTTTTTGTTTACAACTTCAGAAACATATTGCACACAAGTCAGGACTTGTGTGTAAAATAACATTTGGGAAGAGTCATGGAGAAGTAGGGTTTTGTGGCTTTTTTTAAAAATAGATGCAGTGTTGAAGGTAACTTGTTCTGCAGCTTTCTTTTTTTTTTTTTTTTTTTTTTTTTTTTTTTTTTTGGAAGTATGTATTATGTGATATCTGTTAATGTGTTTACAATATATTCCCAGCCTTGGGCCAGTAGCCATTTATCTGTTGAGTTTTGCATCATACAGGTGGTGCATAGGAATAATTCTGTTACAAACTTCCTGATTATTTAAAAGGAAATACCTTGTTTAATTTGGGAAGGCAAGTGGTGGTCATTTTTTACAACAAAATCCAACCTGCGTGTTGGGAAAACATCAGTTATTCAAGTCAGCATAAAGCCTTCTAATACTGAACTGTTCTCCTCCTTAGGCTACGTGGACTTTGGGATTAAACAGAGTTAGATTTAATTATAGATTATTTTTTTAATTTGAATTAATATACTTTTTTTTTTACTGGTGAATTGGCTCAGGAACTAAAGATCAAACCTGTATTAACTGGAAAATATCCACGCTAGTAGAAAATTATAAATATGCTTTATATTAACTTGATCTGTTAGTCTCTGACATAGCTGACATTCTTCTTTTGTGTTTCCTCTTGAGGTAAATCCACCTTACTTTGTGCCACTGGTTGAAATTGTTCCGCATCCAGAAACAGATCCTTCTACTATAGAGAGAACATACGCTCTTATGAAGAAGATTGGACAATCTCCTGTCAAATTAAACAGAGAAATTGAGGGATTTGTTCTGAATCGGCTCCAGTATGCAGTGATAAGTGAAGCCTGGAGACTTGTGGGTGTATGTATATATTTTTCCAATTTTTACACACTGTCAGTTTTGTAGAGACAAGCAAGATTGTATATTTACATTTCTTATAAAATTGACTTTTTTATTAAACTATCCCTTATGTACATGAAAATTAAAATTAGCGTCTAAGTTAAAAACAGTAAGAAGTGATGTCAGTAATAAATAGCAAAGTTTATGAAAAACTTTGTGATATGATCTTGACAATTATCCTTTATCCTGCTTTCATTTCAGAATACTGTCATTTTTCAGGACAATCAAAAGAACAATGTTGAAAGTGTAGAAATCAAGATACTGATTTTTATTTTTTCTAGGTTGTCTCACTATTTCCTGTTATTTTTATGAATGTTGCTGGCTTACTTTTCAGTTGTTATGAAATGTTTTAAATGGTTCTCTGTTTGGCCTTTTAGGAATTGAACTCTTAGGTTCATTTGATACTTGCAGGTAAAGACAGATTTATCCTCCTCCCATTCTGACTTCTAGCTGAGAATCATCTGTTTGTTTTGCTTCAGCTTTTCCCACAATTGCATGTTCTGTGCTACAAAATCCATTCTTTCACCAGGAAGAGATGAATTATGAGGCTGTTGGAATTCTGTTGAAGAGATTTAATTGGTGTGAGTGGGGCTGACTTTTTTTGTCATGAATGACTTTGATTTCTTTTATTTTTTCTCAAGCTATTTATAAAGTGCAAAGATATAGGTAAAGATCTTGAAACTAAGGTAATATTAGCATAATGTAAATAAAACAACTCTTTCCAAAGCAGTATCCAAACATATTTGCTCAACTGATTTTACTTTCAGTTAGCTTCCACTAGCAACACAATGCAACAATGTAAAGGAGTTGATGAGTAATAATACACAGTGATGCTGGGAAGGAACTGAGCTTCTACTGGAGATGTTTCTTTAAATTAAAAGGTATCTGCTATTAAAAAAATTTAAAGTGACATCTGAAGGATATGATGAAAAAAATCCTTCAGAAAGCTGTACTAATGTTGAAAGACATAGGATAGAAAGGATATTAACCTTTAAATTATTTTTCAACCCATAATAAGGCTAATCAAGAGAAACAAAGAAAAAGAATGAAAATAAAAACTACTACCAAAAATGTGAACAAGGAAGACAAACCTCTAGGGGAAAATGGCTGATGTTATTGCTAGGCCACTCTCCATCTTTGAAAGGTCGTGGAGAACAGGAGAGGTGCCTGAGGACTAGAATAAAGCCAACATCATGCAAATCTTCAAAAAAGGCAAGAAGGGAAGACCCAGGCAACTACAGGCCAGTCAGCCTCACCTCCATCCCTGGAAAGGTGATGGAACAGCTCATCCTAGAGGTCATCTCCAAGCAGGTAGAAGATAGGAAGGTGATCAGGAATAGTCAGCATGGATTCACGGGGGGAAATCATGCTTAACTGATGTGATATCTTTCTATGACAAGACGACTAGCAGGGTACATGAGGGGAGAGTGGTGGATGTGGTCTACTTTGACCTCAGCAAGGCTTTTGACACTGTCTCCTGCAACATCCTCATAGACAAGCTCAGGAAGTGCAGCCTGGATGAGTGGATGGTGGATTGGCAGTTGGCTGGATGGCAGAGCTCAGAGGGTTGTGCTTAGTGGTGCAGTCTAGTTGGAGGCCTGTAGCTAGTAGTGTCCCCCAAGGGTCACCAGAAGACTGAGGGGAGACCTCATCAAAGGGTATAAATATATGAGGGGGAGGGTGTCAAGAGGATGAAGCCTGTCTCTTTTCAGTTGTGCCTGTTGCCTCTCATCCTGTCGCTGGGCACAAACTGAAGCACAGGAGGTTCCGGCTGAATATGAGGGGGCACTTCTGTGCTGTGAGGTGACAGAGCGCTGGGACAGGCTGCCCAGAGAGGCTGTGGGGTCTCCTTCTCTGGAGATACTCAAAACCCACCTGGGTGCCATCCTGTACAACGTGCTCTAGGTGATCCTGCTTGACAGAGGGGTTGACTAAATGGTCTTCAGATGTTCCTTCCAACCTCAACCATTCTGTGATTTTGTTTACTGAACAGTGATGCTCACCGTTAAGGAGGCTCCCCAACTCTAAACTTTCTTTAAAGGAAAAGGGTCTAAAAGTTGCTTCAGTCATGTGAAGAACAAGATTTTTAGAAGTGGAAAGACAAAATGAATAGCAGCAGATAATGACGGGGAAATTGAACTTACCAAAGACTCCCAGAACTCAAATATTAAATTGATGAAATACTGGTGTAAGCATCTTTTTACACACCTGCTAGCACAGTACTGCAGAAATGGAAGTTAGCACTTACACCTGAGTATTTTTATATTTTTTTTAAAACAAACAAACAAACAAAAAAAAACCCACTTTATAGAGTAGTTAGCAAATTGTGGACCAGTAAGTTTGGTAATGCGTAGGCATATATATCAGGGAAAGTAATGTCTCAAAAATGTAGGTTTTCTCATGACTCAAAGAGGCTTAAGCTGAATTGTGAAACTTGCTGTCACAAACCTTGGATGCCAAAACTATGAATTGGTTCAGTGGACATGTAGACACAAATTTATGTTAAATGAAAACAATGTAGAAACAACCTCCAGCTCTCAAAATCTGAAAGACTGGACTGCTGGGAGCTGAGATTCTGCTTGTGATTGAAGTATGAAAGTATTGCTCTGTATGTGCTCTTTGATTATGGAAAGATAAGAACACTTTGTAGGCTATTATCAGCGGTGGAAAAAAGCTACTGACTTGAGGTGAACTTCCAGTATGAACCTGTACCTTTAGTATAAACCTGTGGGTGGTATGTTAATAGTAACACAACACAGTGCTTTAAGCACTGACAGAGTTGCTTTCATTGTACTTCATCTAAGTTTCCAAGTTGTTCTGGTTTTGTTTAATTTTATTGCATTTCAGGCAAATACACATTTAAGCTGCAACAACTTTGATACCTGGTATTTGTCTAGACTTCTGAAATGGAAATACAATCAAAGGTGTATAGTTTCAGCTGTATGACTTGGGGCTAAACAGCCCTTTTGGGGGAGAATCACTACGGATAGGTGAAAAATACAAGCCTTGAGCAGTTTTTCTTCCTACTGTTGTGCAGCCAACTTAGTCATTTTCATTGTAAGTCATGTTCTTTTGGTGTTTTCCACTTTCAAAGTGGGGAAAAATGTATTTCTTGGTTCTGACTTTTAAAATCGGTTTTTAGTCCTTATTGTTGAGGGTTAAAATATTGTGAAAAACATCATCCTCCCCAGCTCACAAGTTTTGAGAAGCTCTTAAGAACACTGAATAAAATTTAATTTTTATTTTGTTGCTGCAGAAGTCCACATTGATACTTCCTAGTAACAAAATTTTTTGCTATTCTAGGAAGTACTTAAGGTGGAAGCTACGCTACAAATATTAGCAATAGAGACATTGTAATAAAATCTGCTTGTCCAAAATGACCCTATTATTAATCCTTTTGTGGTTAGATAGGTAAATTGCATGTATTAGATTTGGCAGTCTAAGACATTTTGGATGTAGAACACAGGCATTCTTGTGAAATTACTTATGATTGCTTTGGTATTTTAATGCTAATAATTGTATACTGTTTTTGACGTTGTAAAAGAACAATGAAATGGAACCATAAAACATGATTTCAAGCATACTTGTTTTATTACTGGTTGTAAAATGCCAGAGCAAGTGTCTTTTTATGCCAGCAGTTAATTGTCATAAATCAATCAGTGCTCATACTTCTGTTACAAGTTTTCTTTGAATTTGCTTTTAACATGGTGAGTACTTGGGGGCAAGTCTATATTGTCAACAGAGGACTGCTGTATTTGCATTGCTCAATATCAGTTCTCTGACATATGCGGAAATATTTATGTCCTTGTTAAAAATGCCATGTGTGAACCAGGAGAGGAACACAGCAGTGGTCTTAAGTGTTTTGAAGCCACTTGAAACTATCTTAAATCAGCCCCTTTATGTAAACAACCCTCTGTGAGGACTTTGAAATGTGAACTTGACAATTCTTATCTGGGTCTTCACCTGAAAAATATTTATAGTAATAGCAGGGGGAGAAGTCTTACACCTGCACACATGTGCAGATGTACTTTCATGACAGTCACCTTTTCTTTTCCTTTTTTTTTTTAATCAACTGATCTTAATTCATCCAAGAAACTAGTTGAAACTTCACTGGTAGTATTTATGTAGCCTTAAAAAGGGCATTGGTGATAGTGCAGCTGTACCTGCATGTCTAAAATTTACCGGGAAAACATCATCAAGAATGGACTGAACAGTTTGCAGGGTATGTTTTAGTTCCCAAATGTAGCTTGGTAACTGACAGCTTGCCAGTCCCTCTTTTCTTCAGCAGTGTTGTGATGAGATGTGTGAGGCATGGGGCAGGAATCACACTACAGGAGAAGGGCTCTGATACAAAGCTATGATTGTGTCACCTAATGAGGAGCATTTGAACCTGGGGCTGTACAGAAAGCAAGCACTGCAGTCCCAAAGCCTTCATTGCTTGCTCTGAATTCCTGTGGTAAGTGTAATTGCCTGCTGGATCCTGCATTGGACTTGCCAACTTCTGCCATGTGGGGTCTAAGAGTAGGGAAGTCCACAAGAGCCAGAAATCTGATGGGGGGGGCCTGCCAGCAGGTTGCGATCAGGCTCAGACTCCACATGGTGACCTAACTGCATGTGGGCATGGGTGCTTAAGCAGAGCACAGCAAATTTCAGGGCAAGGTGATTAAAGTAGAATCATAGAATCATAGAATATCCTGAGTTGGAAGGGACTCGTAAGGATCATCAAGTCCAACTCTTGACACCGCACAGGTCTACCCAAAAGTTCAGACCATGTGACTAAGTGCACAGTCCAATCTCTTCTTAAATTCAGACAGGCTCGGTGCAGTGACCACTTCCCTGGGGAGCCTGTTCCAGTGTGCAACCACCCTCTCTGTGAAGAACCCCCTCCCGATGTCAAGCCTAAATTTCCCCTGCCTCAGCTTAACCCCGTTCCCGCGGGTCCTGTCACTGGTGTTAATGGA